TGAAAATAATACATACAGAGGTATATGGATATCCTTGATTAAAAAGATAATCATAACCATAATTACCATATCCAGCATTAACATTTATACCATTACTACCGTATCCCATATCATTATAACCGGTTGCATAATTATTAGCACCAGGAATACATGAACATGATGATGAACATGGACATGAAGATGTTCCAGAACCATAGCATGAACAACATCCACATTGACGTTTAACTCGATGAATTCGTTTGTCCTCTGATATTTCGGTTGAACACTGAAGAATTTAAAAAAAAAAATTGATGCATTTTATTTGATTAATCAATAATTCAATTAATGTTAATTATGATTAAAACATTCATGAATTAATGCATATTTTTGATAATCCTTGCATTAAAACAAAAAAAACAAGCAATGATTGTAAAAATAATAATTGAAATTTAAATTTCAAAAAAAAAAGAACATACAGTAAAATGTTGTAGGATGCAAAAAATTGCAAAAATTAGCAAATTTTTTACAAAAGTCATTTTGAATAAAAGCTGCTTGCAATTCTCGCTTTTTGTCCACTCTACTAATTTATTTGTCGCAATAATTGATCCCGTACCTTTGCCAAAAATTGTTGATTTTAATTTTGTTTTAAAAAAAAATGTTGAAATTTTCGACTTTTATATTACCTCAAGATTATTTTATTCACTTTCAATCTATCTTCAACATCATCCTCATAAATTTTCCTCTCTTCTCATCTACTATCATTCGTTTCTTTTCTATTTCATTGTAAAATGATTTGCCTAACTGAGGAAAATACTTTAAGTAAACATAAAATCAAGAGGTGAGTAAAAAAAAAAAGCTTTTAAAGATTGAGTTAAAGGAAAAGTCTAGTTTTAAATTAGTTTTTTTTTTCTTCTTTTTGGAACCACTTCACTTTTTTTTTTATTTACCTTCTTTTTTTTTTCTAAATTGCTATCATCTCAAAATATGCAAAATTTCAATGTACTTTTTTTTTTAATACAATTTCTTTTTTTTTTTTACAAAAATTTAAGCATTCGTCCATATTTTTGAACATAATTTCTTACTTACTAAAATACAAACGACAAAATATTGCTAAGATTTATTTGATACTTATCAATATTGTTACTAAAGGTAATAAGATTTTGCTTGTATACCTTCCAGCGTTAGTAATGAAGCCAATGGCTAAAAATAAACAAAACATAATTTTGAAATTTAAAAAAAAAATAATGAATTTAATAGCCGAGAATATACAGAATATAATTTTTAAACATTTGAAAGAAGCATGAAACAATTAGCTAATTTTTTTTTAAAAAAAAAAGCAACAAAAATAAGAAATGGAACAGCTTATGCTTACATGGTGCAATGATATTTTCAAAAGAAAAACTTGAAAAGTTTAGCAAAATTCCAATAATTGAACAATTATCTCATATAAGATATTGCCTATTTCACATACGATTTTCATTTTCGTTGTCGAGGACTTCGCTTTCACAAGGTGAGTCGTGTTTTCCTATTCCTTGATACCGTTTGAATACAATATCTGAGTTCTAGTTTGTATTGCCATGGTGATTATGATAAAATTTTTTAATTAATTAGATATATAATCAGACTGTTTTAAACTTTCAAAAAATTATCATTCTTTTAATTAATCATTTGCTCATCAATTTCGTGATAATACCGCTTGTAATAGTTATGCAGTTTATAAAATGTGCTAAAAAAATAATTAACATCTGTTGAACTTATGAAACTAAATGATATTTGTAAGCATAAATTTATTAAGCTACCCTAGATGATTCCATAAACTGTGAAATCTTTAATAATCCTAAAATTTTTGGTTATCATAAAAATTATGATTTATCCCAAATGTTAAGCACAATATTATAATGAAGGTTTACTTTTAAAAAATATTAATTGAACTAATTAAAAAATAATAAAATGCACTTTAAAAATTTGTTATTGTTTAGAGTTGCTTAAATTTTCCATTTTAATTTCATAAAAAGAAAGAAATAACTCAACAATGTGAAATTGACAACATTTTAAGTTAATCATCTTCTTTTAACTTATTCAAGACTTTGTCTTTTTTCCGAAACTTTTTTTTTTTTAGAAAAGGATTTTACAATTATATATTTTGCTAAGCAGTGGGAATGTAAACTAAAAATTGTAGATTAAGTAAGAAAATATTACAAACTTTATTAAAATTAAAGCTAAATTTGCATCATAAACAAATTAATTGAGACCAAAGATCATTTAAATGCAAGCCACCAAAGATCATTTAAATGCAAGCCACTTTATTAATCATCCAAAAAATTCATATTTTTCATTTAATTAAATCAAAATAAATTAACCTAATTCCTAAATTGTCCCTTATACTTTTTTTCTGAAATTTTGATCCTTATTTATTCATGCATTTATCCTTTCTTTCCTTTCTTATTGTGTAAATTTTTTTTTGTTTTTTTGTTTTTTTTTTTAAAAAATTTAGTCTAAAAGAATAAATTTTCATTTGCCTTTCTGTTTTCAATCTCTTTTGTCTTTTCCTTTTTTTTCTCTCCTTTTCTTTTATTTCTTTTTTGCTATCGTATGAATATTTTTCTTTGAATTATTACAGTATGTTATTGTATTTTAGTATTTTACATTATTTTTCCCTTCAAAAGCATTATATTTATCCAAAATGGTAAAATAATTAGCGGACAATATACACACCCAAAAATGGTCGGACAGATAATACATCCATTTAATACGGTAGGCGGTAGGATTCATTCAATATTGTAGGATAGTTAGTAATGTTTTTTAAGTTTTTTTTTTAGTTGTTATCAATGGAATGTTTTGAAAAAAAAAAGTAAAAAAAAAAGGAATGTTAGGAAGAAAAAGAAAGAATGAAAAAAAAAGCTAAAGCTAAAGCTAATACAGAAGCAAAGCGGTACCTACCTGAACATTTTGGTTTGCTCTTTTTCCGAAGACCACCCATTAAGCATCCTAAAAGGACTTTTTTTTTTCCAACTTCTTTCTCCCTCCCCCGCTTTCCATGACGATTTTTTTTTTCCTCCAGTTCTATATTATTTTCTTGCATCCTTAATGAGGAATCATGAATCCATAAAAAAAAAAAATTCACATATGCTTTTTGCATTGCTTAAAATCTCTTCATATTTTTTCTTTTTTGTACAAAAAAAAGTATGCCTTTTTAGATTTTTATTCAATATTTTAAAAGTAATAAAAAAAAGAGAAAAAACAAATATGGAAAATGATGAGTCATTCAAATTGATTGATATTTCCACAAAATATTTCGTTTTTTTTTTCGAAAATTTTCTTTTTCATTTATCAAGTATGTACACTTGACAATCTTACTAGAATTTACGTTTAAAATCAAATAAAAGATGAAAGAATTAGTCAACAAATAATTATCATAATAAAATAAAGATCATTATAAATGTTGTTTTTTAATGGTACTTTATAAATCAACAGAATAATATTTTGATAATGAATTGATTTATAAGTGAATGACATCAAATATATTCCTTTTATCATATCGTATCATTGTTTCGAAACTTTGCTGATATTTGAAATAACCGTTGGATTTGTTTGAAAAAAAATGTTGAATGGAAGTAACAATAGTGATAATGATAATGATAATGATGACAATAATAATAATAATAATAATAATAATAATAATAATAATAATAATAATAATAATAATAATAA